GGGTGTGGGGCTCCCGGTGATGGTCGTGCCCATGCACCGGGGACTCATGGCCTTCCACAGTGCTCCAGTCCTAAGGTGAAGACCCATGTTCAGACTTTCTATGGTTTTTGCCCTCCTTAAGACTCGACAGGACTCGAACCCAGTACGGAGCATAAGGTGGGATTCATGACAAAAACCACAAAAAGTCTGAACATGGGTCTTCACCCTAAGACTGGAGCACTGTGGAAGGCCATGAGTCCCCGGTGCATGGGCACGACCATTACCGGGGGCCCCACACCCCCCCGAACGAGGGGGGAAGGCTGATGGCACGACCATCAACAACCATAAGGCTTGCCCAAAGGACTGTTGTCCAATATCAAGGATTTATCAACTAGTCGATTCCACAAATTATTGTGAAATTATCAGCTAATGGATGTTTCGCAAGGTTATCACGATATACCATATGTCACATGCAAGGGTACACACTACCATATGTGGTTATGACATTCCTTCTAAAAAGTACAGAAACTACCTATCAGGGGCTGATGGATAAGATACTTCGCAACATGGAGATATATGCAGATAATATGTTGGTAAAGAGTCGAAGAGAGGAGGATCACCTAATTGCCCTAAGAGAAACATCCGAGAAGCTCAGGAGATATGGGATGAAGCTGAATCAGACAAAGTGTACCTTCGGGGTAAAATCAGGACATTCTTGGGATACGTGGTCACCAAGAGGGGCATAGAAGTTCACCCATAAAAGGTTCGAGATGTTTTGAAGACGAGAGCACCGGAAAATATCAAAGTGATACAGGTGTTGATGGGAAGGATAACAAGTGTAAGTGTTTTCATTTAAGCTAGCTGAGAGAAGCTGCCACTTCTTCATACCACTAAAAAGAGCTCGAAATTTGTATGGACTGAAGAAACAGCCCGGCGTTCGATGAACTGAAGGTAGTACTAGTCGCGTTACCTTTTTTGGCAAAACTTGACAAAGAAGAGAGTTGGTCGTATATATTTCGATCAGTTAAGTCGCACTAAGCTCGGTGGCAACATGTAACACCTAGCACCCTCGCTTCTGTATTACTAGTAGTTTAAGGTACATTTATTATTCTCGATAACCGACGTAGAAGATAATCAAATTTCGCATGGATGACTCAATTTATGTGAGATAATCTTATGGCTTGTAATAATAATAATAATAATAATAATAATAATAATAATAATAATAGTTATGAGTTTTATTAATTCTAGACTTAATTTGATGGAGTTATAACATTTAAGTCCCAAATTGAGAAAAAAATCTTTCAGGCCCCGAATTGATAATTTACCCATCTTTCGAGTCTTGTATTGAAGAAACTCTTTATAATAATAATAATAATAATAATAATAATAATAATAAT